TTATAAACATTTTTAATGTTTAATAAGTTTTTAATTAAAAGATTATGTGCTTTATTAAATACTGTCAGTTTAAATTTGATATTCATTAATTATACTATGCATGTTGTTTTTTAATTTGATAGATATTGTATAAAATTTCATTTTTTTGAAAATATAAAATATGTAATATTTTTAACATTTACTTTAAGATTATATTTTTTGTGAAAATATTTTCAAAATTTCTAGACTTTGAATACAATTATATTTTGTTTTTAATATTTTATATCAGGGTTCAGCAAACCTTTCTGTAAAGGACCAGATAGTAAATATTTTAGATTTTGTAGACCATGTGGTTCCTATCACAACTATTCAGCCTTGCTATTGTAGCATGAAAGTGCCATATACACTGTATAAACAAATGAGCATCATTGTGTTCTAATAAAACTTTATTTACAAAAGCAGGTGGTAGGCCAGATGGGGTCCATAGGCTATAGTTTGCCAACTCCCACTTTAGATTATTTGTGATGAGAGAACCTCCACTTCTAGTCATGAGGGACAACAAAATTTATCATCTCACTTTAAACAACTAGAATACTGAATAAAATATATGAAAAACAGTTTTTAGACATTGGATAACAGGTAGCATAAGATAATGATCCTTGAGAGAAAGGAAAGAAATACAATCAACCCTACCATTGCTCCAGCTTAACGCTGGGTAGAAAATTGGTAGGCTGCAGCACAAAGAGGAGGAAACTCCAGCAGACCAGTATTCTCACGGAGTTGATGTGTCATAGTTTGGAGTTCAGGGAGACAGCAAAATATTGGAGAAGATACTGCTGCACAGAGGGAAATTGGGGGAGAATGAATGAGAGCTACAGAGATCTGTAAAAATGTCTTCAGGAGTCTTTAGCTAATGTGTGGTTTGTGCATGTATGTAAAAGAGTTACCCAAGATGAGGAAAAAAAACCCCAGAAAGGAGCAGGCAGCAAAGGCTGTCCCCAGTACTAACACAGGGCTGGGAATATTTCATGTTTCCAGCAGCCAGAGGGCAAACATCTCCAAATTCAGAGAGCATTAAGTAGAGTCCTCAAAAGACTGTATTCTTGGTTACAAAGACATTGCCCTAGATTATAAAGTATGCTTCACTCATGCTAACAAAGAAAGTATCAGAGAAATCAAATTCCAAGTAACTCAACTATACCCTAAAACAAAGTTCAACTATATGTAAAGGACTTAACAAATTCAGCTCCCATTAAAGTAAAATTTACAATGCTCAGAATCCACTCAAAAGTGACCAAACATGCAAAAGACATAGGAAAATAGGACCCATAAAGAGTAGAAATATAACTGACAACAGCAGACCCAGAAATGACACAAATGATAGAATTATCAGAAAAGGAGATAAAACGCCTACTATAAATATACCCCATATGCTCAAGAATGTAGAGGAAAAGATGAATGTGATGAGGAAAGAAATGTAGATATGAAAAAGAAACAAATTTGACTTCTACAAATGAAAGTATAATATCTGAAGTGATAAATATGCTGGATGGGATTAACTATAGATAAGATACTTCTAAAGGAAATACTAATAAGCTTGAAGGCAGACACAGAAACTATTTAAAATAAGACAGAGGAAAAGACTAAAAAGTAAGTAAATGAGCAAAGCTTCAGGGAACTGTGTGATAATATTAAACAGTCAAACACATCTAGAGATGTAGTCCCGGAAGAGATTAGAAGGGAGGGAATGAAAAAAGAAAAATGTTAAAAGAAATAAAGTCTGAAACTTTTTCAAGTTTGATGAAAATGATATAATCATGGATTCACAAAGCTCAAAAAAATCCTTGTAAAAGAGACAAGAATAAAATCACACCAAAGCACATTATTATCAAATTGCCAGAAAATAGTGATAGTAAATCTTAAAAGCTGCCAAAGAAAAAGAAGAAACATTATGCACACAGGAATAAAATTAAGAATGACCACAGTTTTCTCTTCAGAAATTATGCAAACCAGAATAGAGTAGAGCAACATGTTTACAGTAAAGAAAAAATCAACTTAGAATTCTATACACAGCAAATATATATTTCAAAAAGAAGACACGATACTTTTTGAGACAGACAAAAGCCAAGAGAGTTTATTTCCAGGGGATGTGTGATATAAGAAGTATTAATGAAAGTAGTATAAAGAATGAGAGAGAGGAAATAGAAGTATACTGTTATAATATCCCTACACTGTACTTTCAGTGGGTTGTAATATTATTTGAAGGTAAACTGTAATATGTTAAATAAAGATGTATATTTTTAATCCTAGAGAAACTTGTGTGAAAACAAAAAGGAAAACAAAGTGGTATTACCAACAAGCCAATAATGGAGATAAAATGGGCAGTAGAAAACAACAAAAAATTCAATCCAGAAGAAGGAAGGAAAAGCTTAAAAGTGAAAAAAGAACATATGGGCAGTTAGAAAACAAATAATAAAGTGGTAGATATAAACCGAGCCATACTGACAATTACATTAAGTTTAATGACCTAAACACTCTAATAAAGCAAAGATTGTCAGACAGAATAAAATACAAGGTCCAACTATATGCTCTGTAAAAGAAACTCACTTTAAATATAACATGAATAAGTTAAAAAATTAAAAGATGCAAAAAAGATATGCTAACACTAATTGAAAAAAACTAAATGGTTATCAGAGAAAGTTGATTTAGGAGTAAGGAATAATGCAAAGGATACAGAGGGACATTTTAAAATAAAGGGGTCAATACATCAAGAGGACATAGTAATCCTAAATATGGTGCACCTAATACTAAAGTTCTAAAATAAATAAGGGAAAAACTGATAGAACTTAAATGGGAGATAGGCAAATCTAAAACTATACTAGGGATTTCAATTCTCTCTTGATAGTTGATAGAACAAATAGACTGTCAGAAAGGATATAGAAAATTTCAAACACTTTCAACCAGCTTAACCTAATTGACATTTATAAAACAGTCCAACCAACAAAAGTAGAACATTATTATTTCAAGTTCACAAGGAACTGTCATCAAGATAAACCATATTCTGAGCCATAAAATAAGTCTCAATAAGTTTAAACTACATTCTTTGACCACAACGATTCAAATACGAAATCAGTAACAGAAAGGCATCTGGAAAATCCCTGATCATTTGTAAATTAAACAACATTTAGATCATTTTTGTCAATTGAATGAAAATGATGAGAAAGCCTTAATTATAGATCAGAGCTTGTTATTAGACAGAGCCACGCCTGATATCCTTAATTTATTTTTATATTGTTTTCCTGAAGCTCAGCATAAAATATTTAAAGACTTTTTGAGACTAGTCAAAATTCTACTGTCCAGATAGATTAAGCATAATGTTATGAAACAAGTGTTATTCCTTTTGTATATTATATATTATCATGGGTCTTTTCTCTCTGTCTCTGTCTCTCTCTCTCCTGTCTCTCAGATAGAGAGGGAAAAGACCCCTCTGTGGAGCATGCTGACTCAGTTTATTTCAACTTATTAATACTAGAGTAAGTGACCAGACATACAGCTGAGCTGGTATATATGAGACCATACATGTTTACAGAGTGCCTGTTTTCGACATTTAGGGATTCACCCAGCTGCCTGCAGAAAAATGATTAAAGATAAGATTCGACATCTTGTATTACTTTGTGTAGAACATATTAATTTATTCCAAGTCAACACATATTTACAAAGCAACTACTATAGTTGTATAGACAGTAAAGAAATCAGTTATCAGTGTTTATTTCACACTCTGAAGAGACCTTTAATCATGTAAATTCATAGTCAAATATAAGACAGAACAGGAAAGGTGTCTTAAATAAGGTAGGTACAAAGTGTTGCGGGGATCCAGAAGATTATGGCTCCTTGGGGGAGATCTGGGCCTTAAAGGACAAGTAGTCTTTAGTCCTTGCACAGAGAGGTTCTTGAAGTAAAGGAAGCAACAGGTGATGGATGTTTCAGAGAAAGCATCATCGATAAACAAACACACACACACACAAAAGCGCTAGCTGTATTAAGGGAATACTAAATCACTTTTTCTGGAGTTCAGATTCCCTCACACTATACTTAGAGCAACAGTGGGATAAGATTGGAAAGGTAGATTGGGGGCTTATTCAAGAGGAACTTAGAATATGGGTATTTGTAATTCAGAGGACATTGTTAATGTAGAGATGTTCACATTAGTTTACCAGAGTTATCACTATTCTAGGGAATATACACTAACCAAATGCCCACAGTCTCTCTTCACATATAATTTTATCATCTATAATGGATACATATCATTTAATTATATGGATGTACCAACATATATGTAATCATTTGCCTGTTGTTGAACCTATAGGTTGTTTCTAATATTCTGCCATTGCAATAATATTATAACAACATTCTTTGCTATTTTTTTCACATTGCTTCTATAGGCTAGAATCTTAGATATTAAACTGATAGGATAAGATATAAAATAATTTAAGATTGCTCATGTATGTTTTAAAGTTAATTTGCTCAAGCATTTGTGAAAATTTACAGTTCTAGTTGAGGTTTTAAATTTAGTCGTTTGTAGGTATTTTAAGTTTTGCCTCTGAATTCCTTATAAGTGCTGCTAAGCCTTTGATAAGTTTTACTCCATGAAAGACTATTACTGAAAAAAACTTAATCTCAATAAAAGAACTTTAATAAGCTTGACTAAATATTTAGAAAGCACATTGTGTTCAGTGAAACTTTGTATATAATGAATAGAATAATAAAAGATTATATTGGCTGACTAGTCTGTAATTGCCTCGAGGAAAGCATACAATGAATAAGTTATTTTGGTTACTTCCTCAAAATAGCCAACACAATAGGGAAATGGAGAAAATGTACTCTGAGCACCATGAAAAGGGAACCTGAAAATCTAATGTGTAAACTTGCAGAAATGACGTTAGAAAACAAAACCAACAAAAGAGAACACTCTCCAAAATAATCTGAGATGCACAAAAGGCAAACATTCATTCACTAGAGTTGGAATTTCCCTAAGTCTATGCTGAGATAAGTAGCATATTTGACCTTCACCATGATTATCAAGCACTTCTTTGAAATTGTGTTGGTGCTGCTGGCCTCTACCACTGTCTTCTCTCTAGATTTGAAACTGATTCTCTTCCAGCAAAAAAGAGTGAATCAAGAAAGTTTAAAACTCTTGAATAAGTTGCAAACCTCATCAATTCACCTGTGTCTACCACACAGGAAAAACTTTCTGCTTCCTCAGAAGTCTTTGAGTCCTCAGCAGTACCAAAAAGGACATACTCTGGCCATTCTCCATGAGATGCTTCAGCAGATCTTCAGCCTCTTCAGGGCAAATATTTCTCTGGATGGTTGGGAGGAAAATCACATGGAGAAATTCCTAATTCAACTTCATCAACAGCTAGAATACCTAGAAGCACTCATGGGACTGGAAGCAGAGAAGCTAAGTGGTACTTTGGGTAGTGATAACCTTAGATTACAAGTTAAAATGTACTTCCGAAGGATCCATGATTACCTGGAAAACCAGGACTACAGCAGCTGTGCCTGGGCCATTGTCCAAGTAGAAATCAACCGATGTCTTTTCTTTGTGTTCAGTCTCACAGAAAAGCTGAGCAAACAAGGAACAGACCCTTGAACGACATGAAACAAGAGCTTACTACAGAGATGTAGAAGCCCAAGGTAGGTGGAGGAACTAGAGGACTTCTCCAAACATGATTATTTCTGTTCTTCATAGAATAGTAATACAATTTATAGTACAATCACACTGTTTTGATTTTGTATATATATATTTATCTGTGTTTTAAGATTGTGCATATTGACCACAATTGTTTTTATTTTGTAATGTGGCTTTATATATTCTATCTATTTTAAATTGTTTATAAGTCAAAATAAATTCATTGATATGGTTGATTCTTCAAATGTGTGTATTTTCATGCAGGCTGGCTGGGTAGATACAATGAAATATGCCACTAATGTAAAAATACTTTCCTTAACATAGAACTCCATTGCAATGATTGGCTTATTTGCCAGAAATTGCTAGAGACAATGGGAAATACTGGGAATAATTTGCAGTATAAGATTTGAAAATACTATTACACAGTGAATATTTACATTACAGGAGACACAATAGAAATATGGTGAAAGGACACGAGCAGTTTGCAGAGATAAAAAAGACATTAAAAGAGGTTCAATCTCACTCATGATAATAAAAATACAAATTAAATAGCATGCATGCCATTTATAGTACAATCACTATGGAGGCAATTTGGTGATATCTATCAAAATTATAGATGCATGTAAACTTTCTTCTATAAATTCTAGGCCTGGAAATGTGTCCTATAAAAATACTTGCCTATGGCCGGGTGTGGTGGCTCATGCCTGTAATCCCAACACTTTGGGAGGCCAAGGAGGGTGGATCACAAGGTCAGGAGTTCGAGATCAGCCTGGCCAATATGGTGAAACCCCGTCTCTACCAAAAATACAAAAATTAGCCAGGCATGGTGGTGGGCACCTGTAATCCCAGCTACCTGGGAGGCGCAGGTTGCAGTGAGCTGCGATCATGCCACTGCACTCCAGCCTGGGTGACAGAGCGAGACTCTATCTCAAAAAAAAAAAAAAGAGAAAAAAAAGAAAAAACCCAAAACTTGCCCATGTGTGATATAACTTACAAACAACATTATTCTCTGCAGTACTATTAGTAATACCAAAAGACAAGAAACCATCTCGATTTTCCTAATTAGAGACAGTTGAGGCATATTCATATAAAGGAACACTATTCAGCTGGAGAAACAAATGAGAGGATATTTCTTTTTGAAAAAGTTGAAAATAGGTGAGATACAGAGCAGTGTAAATAGAATGCTACATTTGGGGTGAAAATGTTAAATAAAATTTATGTTTGTCCTTACTGTATGTAAATAAAGAATAAGAAATAAATTACAATGATTACCTGTATTTAGGGGAAGAAGGAAGACTGAAGAAGAAGATTAGGGTGGGAGAGATTTTACAGCTCCTTTAAAAATTTTTATATTAAATCGTGTGAATATTACAAATTAAGATAATAATTTAAAATGTATGTAACAAGTCACAGTTATCAGAAATATGCATGAGGGAGTCTGGCTGGTGAAGGTCAAAAGGAACAGGACTGAGTTAGCCTGCCCCTGGTTGGGATGTCTGCCTGGAGGAGGACTGGAGAGAAGCACATCTGTGCCAAAGGGGAGAGTTCCTGCTCCTGGGAGATGCCAGTGATGGAGGGATTCCAGCTCTTCTAGCCAGGAACTCCCAGAAGTCACCACGGAACAATGTGGGGGCAGAAAAACTAAAGTTCATTGAGGCTTGGTGGCTATCCCACTTTTGTCCACTGTAAGCAGCAGAGCCATGGCCCAAAACTCTGATGCTAGTTCTACTGCCATATATCATGTTCTACATCAGATTCATTGCATAATTGGAGGTAAAAGTCAGTGGTAAATGTAAAAACTCAGTGAAGAACAAAGCATACTCCAGTTTAATTAGTGCAAGTGAGTAATGGCTGGTACTTTAGACTTGGTTTGAAAGGGAAGATTAGGAACCGAATAGGATCCTGAAAGTGAGACAGTCACCTGCAATAGTGAAGAGGGGTAAGGAAGCAGAGGCTGGCAATCAGAAGCAAGTCTTTGCTGACTTCATGTTACGGCCAGGGATTGATCTGTTTACCTTCAAGTTCACACAAAGGTAGTGAAGTGGAGGAAGGAGAAATACCACACTGGACTGCAAATACAAGTTACTTTTCTTCTCATGATCTGTAAAATTTTTTTGTTGTTCTTGAAACCAGGAAGTTTGTAGAACCAAATCCTTCATTTAACACATTATCCAATTTTCAAATTGACCTCACAAAATGCTTTCTGTTATTATTATTTTTTCTCAAGTGAGAACAAGACTGTAAAGGTGAAGTAAAATGCTCAAAGTAATGTAGCAAGCCACAGAGCTTGCAGATACCAGAGCAAAGATCTTACCCCAAGTCAGCCTGACTCAAAAGCCTGCACTGTGTTCTTGACAACTCAAACCTGAATAACATTGTGCAACATCACTGCAAAATAATAATAACAGTAATAATAATTTTCTCCTAGCTTTCTTTATTCAAGTTCACAATGGTCTCTGCAGTCTTGAATTAAAGAAAAGGTATTTCCCTTTCTCTTGACATTGCTTTCTTAAGAACTGAGAACAGAATGAAGGAACTGTCAAATGGAAACATTTAGCAAATAATACTCATATTTAGACGTTTAAACTAATACTTTATATCCTAATGTTTTCCCAAACATGTAGGTTTATGAAATTGATATCCTGTTTGTATAATCACCTCAATGCCTAGCACAAAATAAAAAATTGTTACTTTTAAATATGTCTGCCCTTTTAAAACTCCAAAACCAGAGTTCTAAACTTGGGAATACTGGGAAGGAGAAACGTATTAAAAGATTTGACTCCTGGCTTAGTAGCACATGGAAAGGCTTAGAGTATGGATAGGTTCATTTATACTTGCAGGCTGAGTTATATTTTTGTTACATCTATATGTATTGAGCTAAGCAAATCATTAAATCCAAAAGCAGGTTACAAAATAATAACAGCATCATCATATTTTCTACAAATAAAATATTCATGAAAAGTATATGAAAAGAAATGCATGAAAATGTTCATAGTACTTCACTTCCACTTTTTGGATTAAATATTTCTCCCATGAATAAGGATTCCTTTTAGAATCAGGAAAAAATAAAATTATTATATTTTTGAAATTTAAAAAAAGAACAGGCTGGGTACAGTGGCTCATGCCTATAATTCCAGCACCTTGGGAGGCCAAGGCAGGCAGATTGCTTGAGCCCAGGAGTGTGAGACCAGCCTAAGCAACATGGTGAGATACCATCCCTATTTTAAAAAATAAAAAGAACTCTTGTAAAGGGCACCTGCTATAAGTTAAGCCCCACTCTAACATGAATCAGAATCACCTGGAGGATTTGTTAAACCCCTGATTGCATGGTCCTATCCCACTGTTTCTGATTCAATAGGTCTGTGGTGTGGCCTGAGTAATTACATTTCTAACAGTTTTCACATGATGCTGTTGCTGCTGGTCCTATGATTACACGTGGTAAGCCTTACCCCTACTTCTTGATGGCCTTGGTAGGTTTTTAAGAGATGAAGGCATAGTTTTTTTAAGGCTACTGATCTCATATTTCTTATGACATCTGGAAAAAGTGAGCACCCTATATAGGAGTTAGTTGATGAAGATTTGTTTTTTTCTATCACTGCCTTTTCACAGCAGCAAATCAGACATTTTCCTCCTTAAAGAAGCTACGTGTAGCAACTGTTATATCCTAGGTGCACCCCATGACAATAACTGCCTTTTAAGGAAAATGGACTAAAAGAAGTTTTGTTTTGTTTTGTTTTCTGTAAGGATTTCTGGTCCTCATACCATGTGGTTGAGTGAAATCAAAACTTCAACCATAGCAATGCTGATTGGACAAAGAATGTGTTGTGGACACAAAATCAAACCTCTGGGGGACAGAGGATTCATTCCAAGGTGAAAAATGGCAAACTTATCCAGTAATCTCCTCTTTAGAGAAGTATAAATATTTGGTAAATAGATTTGGGGGCCATTCATGGAATTGCCTTTGGCTAAAGTCGTTTAACCTAAGTTTTCTACTCCTCCCTAGGGTCTGCTTGTATTCAACAACTGGTCTATGTGGGAGTGTGAAGGCCCCTTACTCCACCTGCGAAGAGTCATCCCAGCTTTAGACCACATTCCCCAGCCTCCTGTTATTGGCTAAGGCCATTTTGTGACCACACTGCAGCTTAGCTTTCCCTCTTGCCTAACCGTCCTGCCTTTTCTTCTCACAAATGTTGATTACATAGCTTTCTCCAATAAACAAACTCGTTGCATGAGAATCATCATCTCAGAATTTGTTGTCTGACCTTCAATTTAGGGCCACAGAAAACCTAAGCTCATAAGTTGTTTCTTTTGCTAGCTACACATTCTTTCCCTTATATGTGTTAATAGCATTCCTGTTATTCATGATTCACTTAAAATTTTTCCCTTCATGGAAAGCCTTTATAGTCTGAACCTATTTGCTCCTTGCTCACAACACAAATCTTACCATGTCACCCACCTCATTGTACTGTAATGGATTACTTCTCCTTCTTCCAACTAGACTATTATCTACTTTATAGTAAGGACATGGCTTCTTAACTCTTTAGCACATTATTCAACATTTAACAGAGACACTCTAAATATTGAATGAATGCAGACTTTTTAAAATGTAGCATTAAAGGAAAGAAGGGAGATACCAGTACCCTATTATCAATGCCAGTTAGACATATGAGGAGACCGTCTAGAAATGAGGAAGTCTTTCTTGTTTATGTGGTACGCTAAGAGGTTAAGTTCTTATGTTTGTTTTTGAGACTCTCCATTATTCCTGGATGGACCTGATATGCTACTTCTTAGAGTGAAAATGAAGTATTTCTCTTTCTCCAATGAAATGGTGGGTTTTACACTTATATAGCAAGGGCACAATAAAATAAGAACATAATATGTAGGGCAGAAGTCCAGATGGGAGCCTCTCTTCTAACTAGTGGTTCTGATCATCTTAAACAATGCTTTCCTGAACTAATTTTTTTTTTTTTTTTTGAGATGGAGTTTCACTCTTGTTGCCCAGGATGAAGTGCAATGGCATGATCATGACTCACTGTAACCTCTGCCACCTGGGTTAGAGCGAGTCTGCTGCCTCAGCCTCCCGTGTAGCTGGAATTACAGGTGCCTGTCACCACACCCAGCTAATTTTTGTATTTTTAGTAGAGACAGGGTTTCACCATGTTGGCCAGGATGGTCGTGAACTCCTGACCTCAGGTGATCCACCCACCTGAGCCTCCCAAAGTGCTGGGATTACAGGTGTGAGCCACCGTGCCGGGGCGACCCCACTCTTAGCACCATCTTGAGCACCATTAGCACCATCTTGAGCAGTTCTAAAAGGATCTGTTTTTTGCTCAGCTTATTTAAAATACTTAATATTATGAAAATATTAAAACAATATATGCCAATGGTATAAATGGCTCAATTTTACAATTTTGTAAGATATAATACTCTTCCCATTGTTCTAGTTAAAAGGCCACTCACTCATTTGTTGTCCAAAATAGGTGGTCACTAGCTATTAATAAAGATTTGGTGACAATTTTCTTCATTTCTTTGGATTTTATACATAAAGCATTATGAGTAGGCAGAAGATAGCCAGCATGTAGTAAGTGTTTAGAGGTAAGTAGCTAGGGTTACGTAGTAAGTATGCAGGAAGGGACCATAACACAATAACAGTCCTATGAATTTTGCCTTCAATGCAAAAAGAATCCAGTTTCTTAGAGGTATGAAAACCTGTTCGGCCAATTTAGGTAGAGATGTTTATCTCTTGGAAAGGATGAAGTGAGATTTAAATAGAACAAATGACAGGATTCCGTTGACTAATAAATCATGTAACTTTAGTCTACATAAGAAAGGTAAGCATACATTGTTTTAGTGAAATTTATTCCAAGTTAAGTTTCAACATAAGCCTTACAGCAAATAAAATATAGATCCTTGGAGAAAATTTAATTACTCTAAGTAATAGAAATTGATGTCAGTTCATGTCAGATGAACAATGCAGTTACCAATCTGTATGAAAACATTTGGGATCAAAGTGAATTTATTTGGAAAGCACTGAGAATTGAATTCTTAGCTGGTGTATTATTCAGTATAACAGATCTTTTAAAAAAAGTAATAGTTCCTAATCCACTCTCATTACTTTAGATGGAGGAATGAGTACTGGAGAAAGAGGCTAGATGAAATTGGAAAGAAATAAGCATATTTCCAGACTCAATGGTGGGATTAGAGGAGAAATACTTTGAAGGAGCCATTTGTGCCTAGTAGTGGGGGAAAAGAAAGATAATACACTCCGTGGATGGGATAGAGATCAGGAACAGAAATAACTAAAATAATAAAAATGTCTCTGAAATGCCTCTGGCTAAGTGGGTTCTTATTGTGCATTCAAATTAGAGAGGCAAAGAGAGGATTCCGTACATTTCAGCATTTATGTTGCAGCACCTGCGGGAATTGTAATTGAAGATACAAGATTAGGGGTCCCATTGAGAAAGGATTTTAGAGACTTCACTAGGAGGTTCATGCTGTAATTTCCAGCACAAAGTTTCCTAGGAGCACTTGGGACTGTCTGAGGGGTTGAACATAAACAAAACAAAACAAAAGAAAATGAAACCAAACAAAAAGCATATATGGTATGGTGCAGAGGGAGGGAAGGTGGGTTACCGGGTAGTGGGAGCCATAGGGCTTAGGGTTTCAGGGCATGTATGCTGGGGAGGGTGGGAGAAGGTGGCTGAAAAAAACAAAACACAAACATGTGATGTTGAACACACATACACACACACAAGGTAGAGTGCAAAGTTTGAGATAAAAGATTTTTTCCCCTAAATCATCTCTTTTAGATTGCCAGGTACTGTCTTCTCCTACTAATAATGCCTGATATTAAAAATCTAAAGGAATAAAAAACGCTAAATGACCTTCTTGTGCACAACACTCAGGTAAATAGCTATGAAGGTTGAGCCAAGGGGTACCTAGAGAAATTAGAGACAGGAAACAAAAAGAAGCCTGCTTCCTGAGAAGTGAGCATGTTATTCTGCTTCTCTTTGCTTCTGGTCATTCAGCTATTGAGTATAATAAAAATAGCCCAAATCATTGGATGGTTACGATGATGAATTGAATTATAAACACTTCAGAACAATGCCTGGCATGCTCAATAAATAGAAAACATTATACCTAGTATATCAAAATGTAGGAAACAAATGCAAGCCTATTAAATACCAAAAATATGTGTATGTAAAACTTCTTTTTTTTTTTTTTTTGGAAGGGGGCTGGCTCTGTCGCCCGGGCTGGAGTGCAGTGGCCGGATCTCAGCTCACTGCAAGCTCCGCCCCCCGGGTTTACGCCATTCTCCTGCCTCAGCCTCCCGAGTAGCTGGGACTACAGGCGCCCACCGCCTCGCCCGGCTAGTTTTTTGTATTTTTTTTAGTAGAGACGGGGTTTCACCGTGTTAGCCAGGATGGTCTCGATCTCCTGACCTCGTGATCCGCCCGTCTCGGCCTCCCAAAGTGCTGGGATTACAGGCTTGAGCCACCGCGCCCGGCCTGTAAAACTTCTTTAAACCTTCAGACAGGAAAGCTATTTCTGAGTAATATGAAAACCAAGGCCACAATGGAAAAAGAAATACATTTTAACACATTAAATGGAAAAAAATTCTGTCCAGCAAAGGGCCATAAAGAAAATTCAAATCACATGGAAAAAAAATACCCATATTTAAAAATATATGAATATTAATATTTTAAATAAAAAGTTCAAATATTTTAAGAACCTGATAGAGATATGAGTAAGAAATATAGAGGCAGTTTACGAGAAGCATAAATAGCTATGAGTGGATAATATGCCAAATAATATGCCTCTCTTTTCAAATAAATGAAAGATCTGATGAACAACAAAAAGATTACTTGGTGATGGTTGGGATAAGAGTAGATACAGTAGAAGTATAAAATTTAAAAACACGTATAGTTAATTTGGTAAAATCTACCAAAATTATTAAACCACCAGACCCAAAAAATTCAGCCCTAGGTATTTATATTACAAAAATACTCTATCCATATGCCAGCTCAAACATATATACAAATTTATTTATTGAAGAATTATTTATACAAAAGACAATTGCAGTGAAATTAATATGCTATTATAGAGGATTGGTTAACAATGCTCCCTTTGTATTACAGAATACTGGACAGTCATTCAATCTAATTAGATAAAGAATATTCATTTACATCCAAACTTGTTCATAATATGTTGAATGGTGTTGAGTGAAAATGCAAGCTGAAGAATAAGAATGATTACATTAGCCGGGTGCGGTGGCCCACACCTGTAATCCCAGCACTTTGGGAGGCCGAGGCGGGCGGATCACGAGGTCAGGAGATCGAGACCATCCTGGCTAACATGGTGAAACCCCGTCTCTACTAAAAATACAACAACAACAACAACAACAAATTAGCCAGGTGTGGGGGCGGGCACCTGTAGTCCCAGCTACTCAGGAGGCTGAGGCAGGAGAATGGTGTGAACCCAGGAGGCGGAGGTTGCAGTGAGCTGAGATTGCACCACTGCACTCCAGCCTGGGCGACAGAGCGAGACTCAGTCTCAAAAAAAAAAAAAAAAAAAAAAGAATGATTACGTTGATGAGGAAATAGAGGGTAGAAATGAGATTTTAAAATTCTCTTTTAATTTGTGGAATGTAAATATCTCGTTTTCTCTTTTTTAAATTCTTAACTATCCATTTAAGTTGACTCAGATGGTATCCAGCATTTCTATTTTCATGAAGCAAATGAGATTTATCATAGCTTAGTTTCTACTGTGGTTGGTACTGGAAGACAACATCTGCCTTTGGTATCACCAGGGGACAATGTGGAGGGACTGCTTCACAGCCACTATTAAAAAGTGGAGGTGAAACAGATAGAATGTTAGATAAAAATCATATTTTCTAATAAGCAAATATGAGAATTTTAATATGTTTCTCATTTAATGAATAAACACAGTGATAGAGCTTTATAAATAATTAAAATTCCAACTCCTGGAAATTGATATCCTCTTTACTATATGGTTTTCCATAGTCGTTTATGGATGAGTAAAGCATATTCTTATTTTTTTCTCTAGCACCATTCTAGATCTTGGAGCTATGTTTTTGCACCTCATGATATTGACTTATTTTCTTTTTAAAGCAAAAGATTGCACTAAGAAAGGCTCCTCTAACCCAACATCTTGCTCTAAACTTATCTTTAGCTGATCCAGCAATTGCTGAATAAGTTACAACAGCAAGCTCTCCACGAATCTCTATCAGTAGGAAGTCACACTCTTGGATTAAATTAAAATGAAGGAAAAAACTGCTTGAATGTACCTTACAGAAGAAAGATATTCAGAAAAGGTCCTTTGGTACAGAGTCAGAAAAGATCTACTTGTAGGGACTATGAACCCAAAACAGACCTCTAAGAAGGGGGCATTTTGGATGAATAAGAATGGTCCCATGGCAATAATCTCAAAGCCCATTGTGATGTTCTTAGACCAACAATGTTAGGTAACTCAGAAGGTAAGGAACTTATTTACATCTGTAGCTTATTTGCATGTTACTTGAAGTATTTGCTTATTTCATGTCATTTTTAAGAGTAGATGCAATTTATTAGCATTTGGTAA